TCAGTTCAGTCAAGGCATACCGAAGTAAGCTGTAGGCTCAACCACAGAAGAAATCAACTCATCAAACTGGTTCGAGAATGAAAAAAACCAAAGTGAAAACGATTAACCGACCAAACCCCGCCCATTTATCACCATTTCTACTTTGTTGCTATTTGTTATTGTTCTAACAACTGCTTAAACTTTTGGGTTAATAAATGAAAAGGAACAAAAATGAAAACAAGGCAATTAGAACAATGGTGATATGGCGTCAAAATAAGAAGAAACAGCCAAGCATCTGCTGCGCTTCTCCTCTCTCTCTCTCTCTCTCTCTCTCCCTCTCTGTGTTGACAGTAGTCAAGTTGGCAATAATGCCAATAATAGTGGTGGCAGCTGGCGGCAAGGAGGGCGATGAATGACAATGTGGAAAAAGCCTTTCTCTTGCGCGCGCGTCGTTACTATGCTCTCTCTCCTTCAAATTTGACAAAAAGCTTATTACTACAAACATAAGTATTAACGGCAGGAGGAAGGAGATGAACAGTGTTCAAAAATTTTTGGACAAATTTCAGAAAGCCCTTAAAGACTTGGTCACTTATTCAAATCAGTTACTATCCCTTTAATTCATAGAACTACTGCAAGGGCTTGTCCCAAAAAGTCCAAACTAGCCTTCAGAAAAGTTCTCTCTCAATTTCATCCTCCAACTTCGCCATTAAGCCCCTGCTAGTTTTGGCTTCACTTAGAGGGAAAATACCCAACACCTAGGCCCCACGCTCATATCTCCTATTTAACGTATCTCAATTCCCATCACCTATGTTTAGTGCATGCCTATCCTTATGTTTACTATAAATATATCTCCTTGTATATGCACATGTATTTATGGCTTGCTTGAAAATCAATTTGCCTATTAAGATCTTAGAGTTTCATTCAATCTTTTTAAAGATGGGGAGGGCTCTTTCACCACCAAAATTTGAAAATGTTGTTATGGAATTGTGATGTTATTTAGGGTTTTTGGATTTTGTTTGGGACCTATATACGAGGAAGAATGGCTGTGTGAAGCAAATGATACTACAAGGTTGCTTGCTTTTTTAGTACAAAAAAGATTTCTTTTCTTTAGTGTTATTTGGTGTTAATTTTTGTGGCTACTGTTAATTAGCTCCTAATGATCCAGAAGGATCTGGGCTCATTGGGTGTGTGTGTGTGTTTGGTTTTTTTTTTTTGGATAGTGCGCCTATAATGTGGCCACTCTAATAGTTGGGATACTATAGTGCACTATAGCTGGCTCCTTTGTATTTTTTCACATTTTTTTCTAGGTTTCATACTTTCTTGGGAAATTCTAAGTGTTATTGGACCACAATGTTATAAAAGAAAGACTTAAACACCCTTTTAGGGTATTGAAAACGTGACCAAATTTTCTTCAAAGCCTAAAAATCATCTAATATTTGAATATTTCACTTTTAACAAGATCCAACCAGCATTCAATTAATCCTAACCATTCTTGGGAAAGAGTTGACGGAATCCAATTAGGTAAAGAACAAAGGGAAATCCTTCATTTCATTTTGAGATATTTAGGAGATGGTATACCTTTGGAGTTTCAAATTTGTAACATCTAACAACCCTAGGATCAATGATGATCTATAATTTCCTAAGAGCGCAAGTAATGGTTAAATAGATTTAGAAAACAAGAATGATCTAAACCCAACCGGAAAGAGATGTACGGAAAAACTAAATTTAATTAACTAATAATAAACCTAAAATGCTTATACAATTGATTTTATAAAACCCCAAATTCAAACCCTAACAAGAGCCCAAAATAAACCAAATTTCCATGTGTTCATTACTCCCTGGCTGTTGGATGTTGCGAGTTTGTTCCCCATTGATAAGTTATCTCCAGAATACCTTGAAATAGATTGGAGGATTCCTCTCTCGGCTTTACTGGATTGGATCTTGTCAACTTTTTTCCAAGTGTGGAATGATTTCTAATCTTTAAATAAGCTTTGGCCAAGTATTGAATGAACTGCAGAAGTGCCAAAATCTTCAATTTGTAATTTAAGATGTCTTAAAAAGTATAAGAGCCCTTAAGAGTGAGGAAACCATAAAAATTGAATAGTATCAAGAAGATATTCACTGCAGTGTGCTATAGCATACTAGGCTATGGACAGGATGTGTTATAACCTCATATTATAACTTGACATTTTTTTTTTTTTTAACAAAACTCACTCATACTTAAATTTCTCAAGTAATCACTCATTAATTCTAAACTTCTCAAGAATTCTTCTCAATCAAATGGGCATGTAAAAAATTTGGTTTGGTTTGTTTTGAAATACTTGTTAGAGTTTGGATTAGAATTTTTTGAAACCAATTATACAAATATTCTTAATTTTTTATTAATTAATTGAATTTAACTCTTTATTATATCGGTTTTTGGCTAGAGTTTGATCATATCAATCTTGTGAGTCTGTTTGGCTAATTGCTTGTACTCTGGAGAAATCATTAATCATATTATAATAAAATAATTCATTCTAATTAAGGGTAGGGGTGTCGCTGAACTGGGTCCTACCTAGATCCGCTTTGAACGTGGCCCAATAAGGGTGGGTCCGAGGGTTTGTCACCAGAAACATCCTTTAACGAGTCTAGATCTGTGCATCCATTTCAAAAAATAAGGTGTTCAAGTATTATACGGACTTGTTTTATTTTTTTTAAATATTGGTAGTTTAAAAAATATAAAAAAAGGGTACATTTTTTTTGGATATATTTTTGTTTTATTTAAAGAGAAAAATGAAAATTTTTAAAAGTAGAGATTGTAGGAAAAGAAATTAGAGAAAAAGAAAGAAATACATAATTTTAGAGAAAGAAGGTTAAAAAAATTTACAAGAGAGAGAAATTTTCCACAAATTTAGAGGGGGAAGGAAGTAGAGATGAAATTTTAGGGATAAAGGTAGTGAAAAAAATAAGAAAGAAAAACTTTAGAGAGAGTCCAAAAACATTTAGAGAGATAAATTTGAAAAATTTAGAGAGAGTGAAAAAATTTTAAAGAGATACATTTTTAGAAAGAGAAAGTTAAAAATATCTAAAGAGAGCAAGATCAAAAAATTGAGAGAGAATAATTTAGAAAAAAATCTTGAATAAAAATTAGGCAAAACATTTTAGAGAGGGAAAGTTAAAAAAAATTAGAAATAGAAAAAATATAGAGGTTTAAAAAAAGTTGAAAAAAAAATTAGAAAGAGCAAAGACGGGTCAGATCTAAATCCGTTTAGATTTATACTAGACCAAATAAGATTAGGTTTAGGGCTGTCAATAGGTTGGATTTTAATCCGAATTCGATCCGAATCCGATCCGAATTTTAGGCCATTTAACCGATTAAAATGTTCGATGGATTAAATCCGATTATAAATATTTGTAATCCGAAATAAGTGGACCGGATATGGAATTAAGCAATCCGATTCATTAAAAATCCGAATCCGAATAATTTAATAATAATTTTTATTTAATTAATAATTATATATATTAATAAATACTTTTATATATAATATAATATATATGACATTATAATTAATAATATACTAATTTGTATTTGTGAGATATTTTATTTAATAGAATAATGTATATTTTTTCTAAACTATTTTATAATATTCTTTTATTTTTCATAATTTTTAGTTTTTCTAGTAGGTATTATTTTTAATAATTAATTACTTTTGAAATTTCATGAAACACTTGAATAAATTGATTATAAAATTTTCTAAGTTCTAATAATAATACAAATACAACTTAATAGTTTTATAAAATATTGGAATCCTATCATCACTTTTGTAATATATTATATAACAAAAGTTCTTCTTTATCATTCATAAATAACAATTTATTTTTTAATTTTATTTATATTTTAATAAAATAAAAATAATTAAACATAAATCTTACATGAATTTTTATCATTCATATATAATAATTTATTTGATTTTACATATCTTTTACTTATTGATTATTTGATTTTAATTATTATTAACAGTTATTTGGATCGGATTTTTTTTTCGAATTTCGGATTTTTATCGGATTCGGATTCGGTAATAACAAGTAGAAATCCTATAGAATTTCGGGTCGAATTCGGATATATACATTGATAATCGGATTCAAGTTCGGATTAACCTGATTTGATCTGAATCCGACCCGTTTGCATACCTAGATAGGTTTGAGCACTCAAACCCAATTAGGCCCTTTAACGGATCTAGGCCCGTTGAATCCATTTCCAAGAACAACGGCATCAGCCTTCAGGTGTTATCTGGACTCGTTTCAATTTTTACAAAATATTGGTAGTTTGAGGACCTAAAAATAATATTGGTAGTTTAACAAATACAAAAAAGAGTTACATTTTTTTATAGTTATATTCATTTCATATTTATTTAAAGTGAGAAAGAAAAAATTTTAGAAAGAGAAAATTGTAGAAAAGAAAGTTAGAGAGAAAGAGATACAGATAATTGTAGAGAAAGAAAGTTAAAAAATTTAGAAATAGAGAAAAAAATTCTAGACCGGGAAAAAGTAGGGAGAAAATTTTAGAGATAGAGGTAGTGGAAAATATTAAGAGAAATAATATTAGAGAGAGAAACTAAAAAAAAATTATAGAGAGAAAGTTGGAAAATTTTAGAGAGAGAAATTTTTAGGAAGAGAAAGTTAGAAATATTTAAAAAGAGAAAGTTAAAAAAAAATTAAATTTTAGAGAAAAGAGGGGTCAGGTATGAATCTATTAAGTCAGTTTAACTTTATACTAAATAAATTAAAATTTAATAAATTTAAAATTGAGCAGTTAGAATTCATCCAAGAAAAAAAAAGATAATTTTGTGAGAAGTCAATACGTGAACAAGACTAAAAATGAAACGTGATTATCACATCAAGCCAGGGAAATGAGTTAGCTGGACAACTTTCCCTTATCTAGCTTATAATTGAGATCATGCAACTTACAATTTTATTCCTCCTACTTCTCCTCCTCCTCCTCCTCCTCTCATTTATCTCTGCCGTCACAAGCTTGGGGATAGATGGATGAAATACGAGAGGCAGCTCGGGCTTATTGCGACAACTTCTCGGACGAGCAGAAACAACGCGCCTCGCAATTCTTCCAGTTGCTGGACGCAGACGGAGATGGCAGAGTTAGCACCCGAGAGTTCTTAGATTTCCTGCTGAAGGAGGAACGCATAGCACCAGACCTGGTTCCACAGTTGTTCCAGAAGCTGGACGCGAACGGCGATGGCGTCCTTGATTTCTGGGAATGCATGACGTTGTACTACATGACGCGTGCCGGAAGATTGGTGTTCTGCAATGGCTGTGGAAGCTATTTGGATGGAATCCGATTCGCTTGCGTTCCGTGTTTCGGGTCCAACGTTAACGGCAGAGGGTACAACCTCTGTGCTTCTTGTTGTCGCAACAGAAAGTATTCGCACCACCACTCCTACTTCTTAGACAATTATTTGCTGCTGGAAGTCAAACGATCGGAGGAGCAACATCGAGCAAACCAAACCCAGGTGCCGCAAATTAACTCTGCATTAGAAAATTTTTTAATTTTAAGGATAAAAAATACACTCTCCCTCTAAATTTGCTTAAGCACTCAAGTTAATCCTCATCCTCAAAAAACACTTAAAAATTGATTAGCTTTAAATTTAATATTAATCAAACTAAAATAAAAAAAGAAAGAAATTAAATTGATCATAAAGAGCTCAAGGAATCAAGAACACTCCATTGGGAAGAGAATAATGAGCTCTAATGGAAATGCAAGGAATGAAAGAGAATAATTCCCAAATTCAAAAAATCTCACCCTTTGTCTTTAAATTATGTTTAATTCTATTTCTCTACTGTTTCGCCTGTTCTTCTTGATTTTACATTCTTGTTATTTAATTGGAGCTTTGTCTGATCGATCTAATTATGCTCAACTCATAAATTTTTTAATATTTATTTAGAAAATATATTAATGACATTTATTTGAAATTGCAAGATATAAAAATTAGATTATATTAAATTTCATTTTACTTCAAATTTTATATGCATTCGTAATACTGATATTGATCAATTGTGATTGGTGGAACTGGATCTCATCTGAATTAGGAGAGAACTGGATCCTCCCCCTGGCCTTAAACTCATTCTAAGTAGTGTTAGATGTTAATTATTGACATGTTACCCAAGAGATACAGTTATTTAGCATTGGGCTTGGGCTTGGGCTTGGGCTTAGGCTTAAACTGGATTCCCATTGGGCTTGGGCTTCATTGGTCAAGCTCAGATTTGAACTCATAGGGGTACATTCGCAGACCCAACTTGTTTACATGCCTAGCTACCTATTTTGATTATTTGTTTATAAATATCTCTATATTAGTTATGTCTATGACAAATCATGTGAGACTACAATTGCTAGATTTTTTAGATCTTGCGTCCTTTACCACATTTTGTTCAAATAATATAATATCATTCTGTCCATTGTAAGAAGTCAAGTCATTATCTTCATCAGAAAAGCATTAATAATGATTGATAGTAACAAGGTTACCAATGCAAAAATTGACACAAATATTGATGTCAAAAAATTCGTTGACTGTAACAATTATTGATGTAAAAAGTAAATGCATTGGCAATTTCTGATGCAAAGAAGGTTTGGGAAAAAAATTGTTAAGGGAATTAGCTTGGGACTTTTGGCTCCCTAATTCATCGCCTTTTCACATTGGAGAAGGCAAGGTTTGTCAAACCTAACTATTTTTTGGTCTAATTAAAAAGTTTTGCAAATAAGATTGCTTAAATGTATACAATTTAAGTAATATAGATCTAATGCAAAATAAGATAATTAAGTAATATAAATAACAAAATAAGAAATGATGAGATTCAACTCCCTGTGAATCTATATGCTTAAACTCTAATCACTACTATAAAGATCTAATCTACTAATTAATGCTCAAAATGCATATAACTACTAATTAACTTTAACTAAAAGCTAATCACCCTCACGAAGTACACACTTCTGTGGTGAGTTTTTTTTCCACACTTAAAGTTATTCGCAAATACAATAATGGAGAAAAAAAAGATTCTTTCAACCGAATAACCTTTCCCCAAGTTAATAAATACAAGCAAATGAGAGTAAAAGACCAAGAAAATACTCTTCACGTACAACTCTCAAGCGCACAATTAAGAATGATGACAAACTAGGGTACAAACTTTTTCAACTTTTTCTTTTGCTCCTGATTAAAACTTAATTGCTCCTCAATTGGGGAGAGAAGTTCAATGAGGGCATATGCACTAGAGAACAAGTGAGGAGAATAAAAATCCTCTTGAATTTGACTATGTAAAAATCTTTTGGCTAACAATGTTTACAAATTTCTTTTCCTTAACTTGATTATGTATAAGTTAAGACAACTTCTCTGTGTGATTTGTAACTTAATATTAATGTGGTTCAACTAATAACAAGTTTATGTTGCAGCAAGACACTTACCCAGCCCCACAAATTGCCCACACTGTATCTAGAAATGTAAATAGCCAGCAATACAAGCTATATTTCTATTTTGGAATGTCTACTTTTCTTTTCACAGTCTTCTGTGTTTGATCTTATAACTAAGAGTACTCAAATCATCCACAATTCTTTTACTTGCATATAGTGTTCGTACAAATTGTGGTAGACATTATCATTTCAACAAGCATTTAATTGTCTTTCATCATATTTTTTGTGTTGTTTCAAGTCCAAACATAAAACTAAAGTGTTTGATGTATTATAGGAGGGAAATACTTCCAGAGAAGCTCAGGCCTCTGATGCCTACGAGTCCTGGACGGTAAGCTGCTACGTTTCTATATTTAAATACATAGCTTCCTTTTGCAATGATGTTGTTGTTATAGGTTGTTTTCTTCTTATATATATAGTTTAACAATATAACTTCTTAGATTCACATGATAAAATACAATATATTTGAATCCCATGGTATGCCTACTATATCATATGTCAACGAGTATGCGTACATATAATAGTGAATAGAATTAATACTTAATCAAAAACTAAAGATTCTTGGCTTGTAATGTATGCGATCATCTTGTTACTTTCATTGCTTTGAGCTTCACAGTGCTCTTGACAAGATAACAAGAGCAAGACTCGCACACTTCAACAAACTACGAAATTTAGGTGCATTTTTTAATTAGCTAAGAAATTTAAAATGGCGAACCAAACTCCTTCTTTTAATTAAAAGGTAAAATGTGCTCGTTCATGAGTACTCCTTCAAAGAATACAGGAAGTACCTTGGCCAAACTAATTGCTAAAATCCATTTTCGGTTAATAATATATGGTCAACGCTTGGTTTCTTGGAAGGTATAGTTCACTATATTATTCAACTCCCCTTGAATTTATAAGCTTAAACCCTAATCACTAAGGCTCAAAATGCTCATGATTACTAATTAACTTTAACTAAAGACTTGTCACCCTCACAAACTACAGACTTCTATAGTGAGTTTTTTTCCACACTTGAAGTTATCGCAAATAAAATAATGGAGAAAAGAAAGATTCTTTCAACCAAACGTCCTTTCTCCAAGTTAATAAATACAAGCAAATGAGAGTAAAAGACCAAGAAAATACTCTTTAAGTACAACTCCCAAGTGCACAATTAAGAATGATGACAAACTAGAGCTCAAATTTATTCTTTTGCTCTTGATTAAAATTTAATTGCTCCTCAATTGGGGAGAGAAGTTCAATGAGGGCGTTTGTACTAGAGAATAAGTGAAGAGAATAAAAATCCTCTTGAATTTGATTATGTAAAGATCTTTTGGCTAACAATGTTTACGAATTTCTTTTCCTCAACTTGATTATGTAGAAGTTAAGACAACTTCTCTCTACGATTTGTAGCTTAATATTAATGTGGTTCAGATAATAACATGTTTATGTTGCAGCAATACACTTACCAAGCCCCACAAATTGCCTGTCACGTACATGGAAACGTAGATAGTCAGCAGTACCACGTATATTTCTATTTTGGAATGTCTACTTTTTTTTTCCATAGTCTTATGTGGTTGATTGCATAACTGTATGAATAGTCATATCATCCACAATTCTTTTACTTCGATATAGTCTTCATACAAATTGTGGTATTATCATTTCAGCAACCATTTGATTGTCTTTCAGCTTATTTTTCTTGGTGTTATAAGTTCATACATAAAATTAAAGTTTTGATGTATATAGCAGGAAAACACTTCTATAGAAGATGAGGGCTGTTATCCTCGTAAATCCAGGACGGTAAGTTGATATGTTTCTATATTGAAATACATTGTTTCCTTTTGCAATGATGTTTATGTGTAGAGGTTGTTTTCTTCTTATAAATAGCTTTACATGATAAAAATACAACATATTTGACACCCACAATATGCTTAATGTATCATATGACAACAAGTAAGCGTAGATATAATGGTGAGTAGAATTAATACTCAATAAGGAACTAAAGATTCTTAGCTTGTAAAGTATGGTGATCATCTTGCTACTTTTATTGCTTTGAGCTTCATTGTGCTTGACAATATAACAAGCACAAGACTTGCACACTTGTAGAACTAAGAAATTTAGGCGCACTTTTAATTAGCTAAGAACCCTATTTAAAATAAAGAACCAAATGCCTTCTTTTACTTTGAAACTAAAATGTTCTTGTACATTTTTCTTGAGTAGTCCTTCAAAGAATATAGGAAGTACCTTGGCCAAACTAATTGCTAAAATCCATTGTCAACGTTCAAAAACATATGGCCAACGCAAGGTTTCTTGAAGGTGTAGTTCACTTGTGCATATTGTAAAATTATATCAATTGATCTAATTGTCAATTTGTTCAATGAGATTGGTCCTAGTTCATTATAACTTCTTTTGAATGTAGTTTTAGTCATTCAACTAGGATTTAATATTTTCAATGTGGATTTACCACTTGGAATCCTTGTTAAATATAACTTTTTCTTTATAGAAATAGAAGCAGTAGAAGTTCAAAGTTACCAAATTGTAAAGAAAATGTCCCATTTTCATTGCAAATTGGAAATTAATTCCTCACAACTTTTCAGTAAAGGTAGAATTGATACATTTGATTACTACAACATCACTTTTTTGATTATAGGAGAAATTAAAGGAGGCTCTCGGAAAATTTGAGAAGGCGTTAAATATTCGGCAGTTCGCCACTGAAGCTACCGACTCTTGTACTACTATGTGATACCAGGTTAATCCCTACCTTTTTCTGTAAATTCTGCAATTCAATATGTGATTTGCTACAATAGTAAATGCATGTATATAGACAAGAAGTAAGTACTTGAATAAAAACTGAGACCAAAAGTTCAATTTATTGGAAAAATCACGTTCCGTCAGAAGAATCTAAAAATGGAAGGTCTAATGGTCTTGGAGTGAAGGATGCTCATTTTTGTTTTCCATTTTCTTTTTTTGTGGCATAGGGGTGGTTGCTAGGGTTATCAATAGATTAAATTTTATTTAAATATGATCTAAATTTAATTCAAATTTTAGAATGTCAATCTGATTAAAATATTTGATAGATTATATTCGATTACAAATATATATAATCCGAATAAGTGGACGATATCAAATTAAGTAACTCGATCATTTAAGAATCTGAATTTAAATTTTATTAATATTTTTATTAAATTAATAATCTTATATATTAATAAATTCAAAGTTGTAGGGATTAAATTGAGAAAATCAAGAATTTTAGGGACCAATATGATTGATGAAATAGAGTTAAAAGATTTAGGTATAATAGTTTATCATTTTTTTACAAAACTAAATTTATTTTAACAGATTTTGAATTATTCATCAAATTCGAATATAGTTTAACAAATATATATTTTTATAAGATTTTAAATTAGATTTAAATATGAAAAAAGTTAATCAAATTCAAATTTGACTGATTTGACCTAAATCTGACTTATTAATAGCCTTATATAACATACATAACCCCAGATTAAACCCACTTTCTTTGTGCATGTTGTGTTACTATTTGCAAGAGTTAAAATTAATAGTTTTCATTTGTAGTTGAAAAAACAAAAGTTATTACTATTGGAAATATTAATAAAAAAACCTAGTAGGCGAAAACATAAAATAAAATAATAATAATTATTATATATTATAATGAAAATACTGAATTTAAGATTTCAAAGTAAAATTTTGAATCT